GCCCCTTCGGCCGCGGGCAAGAGGGCTTCCGTGACTTGGTCTCGGAGAATGCGGGCACCAGCGGGATCCGTGACGAGAGACTGTCTTCGGAGAGGGACGACACGCAGCAGAGAGCTGGCGTTCACCCGCCTGGCGGCTCCGGTGCGAGAGGGCCCGGAGCACAGGTCGTACGAGGAGCGGCTGGGGGAACTGGGGGGGTTCAGTCTGGAGAAGAGGAGGCTGAGGGGAGACCTCCTGGCCCTCGGCAACTCCCTGCCAGGAGGGGGCACAGAGGGGGGATGAGTCTCTTTAACCAAGGAACAAGCGACCGGACAAGAGGGAATGGCCTCAAGCTGAGCCAGGGAAGGTTTAGACTGGATATTAAGAAGGATTTCTTTGCAGAAGGGGCTGCTGGGCGTTGGAATGGGCTGCCCAGGGCAGGGGGGGAGTCCCCATCCCTGGAGGGGTTGAAGAGTAGAGTCGACATAGCGCTGAGGGATCTGGGGGAGTTGGGAACTGTCAGTGTGAGGTTCATGGGTGGACTGGATGATCTTCAAGGGCTTTTCCAACCTAGACGATTCTGTGATTCTGCTCTCACCGCAACACCCGGGCGGTGAAATCCCTGATGCTTCCGACAGCAATGCAAGTGCTACCCTGGCTGCTTACCCGCTGGCTATAGAGCCCCGTCGTTAGACTGAAGAATGTATAATTACCCCGTTTAGTGTGTAGTTAAGAAAAAAGCAAACTGGTCAGCTCTATTTCTATAAATTAGCCCGAGAATAGGCCTCATATGTGACCGTGAATGAACAATTAACCAGGGCGTAGGGCTTGAACAACCACATCTGGTTGACATTTTCCTCTGATGTTTTATGAGCTGTTTATTATAGCAGTAGGCATTCTTTATTGGAATGAAATAATAAATTCACTTTCAGGGTAATACAAATTTTTTTTTCTGTTGTCTGCAAGACTGCTGAGAGATCCAACATAATTTTCAACTAAGTATGGAGTATTTTGATGATTCTCACTCAGTGAAAGTAGGTTAGAACAACAAATTCAACCACATTTTTGGGGTGATTTCAACAGGAGCAGACACTTCTGTCGATCTCAAAGGTATATAATGCACATTAAAGATCAAATAATACACATATTACAAATCATACCAAAAATCATTTTGAGTTCTCAGGCTATGCAACTGTGGATGGCAGCTTTGTAAAAGAAAACCCCCTTTGAAACTTGAGCCTGTTCCACAGTGCAAGCTGTGCGAAGTGCAGGGTGTCTACAATCCACTGAAGCTCAGGTTAGCCTCCTTTTATCCTTACTTGTCACACTTAAAAGTAGGGTACTCTAAGATTGTTCACCATACACAAATGAATAAACAACCGATTTAATCTGAAGCTGTGAAAAACTGGTACAGGGAACTAGATATTACAAACCTACGGTAGTCAAACATTTCTTCATGATTCACTGCCAGAGCAATAAAGTATTTAATAATGGAGCTCCAAGAGTGGAAGTTCCTGTTGTTTTTCAGACAAAGAAGTCTTAAATCTCTGGTCTTAAAACCAGAGAAAAAGGGATCTATTAAAAACTGTAGCATTTGATGATGAAAGTTCATACTGTTTTTCAACAATAGGAAGTAACACAGAGATTCTTTCTTGGGGGAAGAGGTTTTAAAAAAAAAAAAAATCTGACTCAGAGGTGTCTGTTCTGACAGCTGCCATTAAGAACTTAATAAAAAAATACATATAAAATGCATGGGCCAATGGGGATTTCCATGATACATTATTTTACCATTTCCTACTTTCACAGTAGTTTGATGCTAGCCTTTTTTTTTGATGCTTTGCCAAAATATATTAACTGCAGATCAGTAAATGCCCAAGTTCATTTTCACTTTTAAAAATAATTTATTTTTGCATAGTTGTTGAAATAAAAAGTGATGCAGTCAATCATTCTGCAGTCGTTCACCATAACATTGAGAGAATTTAGAACTACAAACATTTTCATATAGGAGGTGTATCAATCTGTTAACAAGCACATTACGCCTTACATCAGAGACGGATTTGTCTTACAGAGAACACAGCTAATGCATTGGGAGCTGCTAATCTAGAAGGCTGTAACATTTTTGTTCTTCTACTTTATTACTAGGCGATCAGCAGTCCACCCTGGCTTTCTGCCTTCGCTTTCATGTTTCCCCACAGTGACCACAATAACACACCAGTTTCTCCAGGGGCAGGTGGCAGCCATGGGCTGGTCAGCCAGCTGTTGTCAGAGAGTACCTGGTATTAAGGAAAATGCTATACATCTTTTAGTATTTCTCACAATGACATTATTATAAAATGCTTTCCTAAAGCAGAGATACACTTTTATGTAATTATCAGTATATACATAACTGGTTGACGCTTTTATGTAGTAATTTTAAAGAATGCAATCTCGTGCAGCCGGTAGGGTCAGTCTCAGCTGGTGCAATTCCTTAGACTGTGGTGGAAAGATCTCAGGATGAAGGTGCAACTCGCTGTATTTGGCTTCACCTTCCACAGCGTTTTCCCCAAATCAGCCTCCAGGAGGTTGAGCACAGGATGCACGAGAGAATGCCAGTTACAAAGACACAATTCATTTAATTCATTTGTCAAATCACTTAGGACCGACGTAGTGTCATTCTGACGTGCACATGGAACAGCAACCTTGCTCCAAAAGCAGTTCCACTGAAAAATACAGGACTACATAGAGACACAGATGCTACTGTAGGTACATGCATCAAAACCTGGTCTGCAGGGCGTAGGTCTGCAAGGGAGATTGTAAACAGCACCAGTGAAGGAAGTGTGATGGTACAGAAAGCTTTACTGTTGGCTCTCCATCTAATAATGTTATGTGAAGCTGCACAGAACAACTTTGTGATTTAGTTCTGGACAAAAAAAAAAAAAGTATTTTTACCAAATTATCCAACCAGGTCCTAATTTGTACAGTTGTATCAGATGCTTTGAAACTGTCACAAAGAACTTCTGTGGCAAGGAACAGCGAAAGAAAAATCTATTTGTTTATTTCCAGGTCATCTAGAAATACTCCCATCAACTGCAACAGGATTGAGAGAATGGCCTACGTTTTGAAGAATTTACAAACTTCAGTTTTCAAGAATATGTATCTCTACATAAGAAGAGTCTTATGTAAGAACTGTACGGTTTGATTAGAAGCACACAGCAGAAACAGAGTGTCTAAATTCCAACAGCCACAATTCCAGGCATGTCTGCTGCTCAGGATGTGATTCACTTACTCCTGTCAAGTGTTTGCTTGAGGATAAAGATGATGCTAAAGGATAAAGACCCACATTCAGGTCTTCTCTGATAATGGGGAGAAAGAAAGCAAAATGGAAACTTATACCATCACAAAGTGAGGAAGTGGTGCATGCCTCTGTGTAAAGTGCTGTCTAGCATTTACCATAGCAAACCTGGAAGCTGGACAGCCAACCAGGAATGTGAGAGCACCTGTAATTTCCAGGTGTTCTGGGCACAAAAGGAGGAGATCTAAATGAAGACAAGACCTTACAAGGGTAAAAAAAAAAAAAAAAAAAAAAAAAAAAAAAGACGGTGTGATTAAGTCTTTCAGTATCATTATTGAAAAGACAAATGTTGGAGGCTGTGTTGCCTAAAAAAGATGGAGGCATATTAATAGAAAATATACTATTTTATCTACAGCAGATCAATGCTTCGTTAAGCGATTAGGAAGTGTTATGAATTCTTGAAAGAAACAAAAGAGAAAGGCTGTTTCAATTTCAAAATTTTTAGAAAAACTGAAAGGATTCCAAACCTGGAAGATAAAATGTTCTCAACCAAAGAAATGTTCAATGCTCCAATTATTATTCACATTTTAAGTGCCAAAAATTTTTTTTAAAAAATATTGATTTGTCACTGAAAATTGACTATGCAATAAAGAGGGGTTCTTGCAGAGGAAAACTGTCCCATTTCTTATTTTCAAAGTAATTTAGATCCCACTTTTCTGAAGGATTAACATAGAACTGTGCATTTCAAATGCTAATCTGACATCTGATAAATTTGTCAGACTATAGAAGGCTCTCTCTTACACCAGCCTTTTTCTTTAGATTTCAAATGTCTTCCCATAACTATATAAACTTTAAAGATTAAGTGTATGTCAACACATCTTGAATTTATATAGACATAAAAATTTTATTGCCGTAATCGCAAGGATCTATCAAACCCAATCTTTATGGCTGTTTCTGGAAAAAGTATAGCAATTAATAATTACCATAAAAATTCAGAAAAATATTTCAGTTATTTAGAACAGTTACTCTTTTGTTGTTTCCCCACTTAAATATCAACAATGCCCATATTCACTGCAGTGCTGAAGTTGATGAAAGGAGAACATTTTAAACCGTAACCCTTAAAATATTGCTCCATTCCATTCACAAATTATGAGACAAATTACATTTCAATATATGGTTCATTGTCACATAAAGATACTCATGTAAGGGAAAATCAACAGCTTCAGTTATAGAAAATATCATTTTTTTAAAGTTACAATTATCATAACATTATCAAATCTCTTCTACTTCATTGCATGAAGACATAAAGTCTGGTATGTTGGGTTTTAATATTGGAATAAAATTCAGAAAACGCTCTCTCCACCTCTATTCATCTCAAATTTACGAAAATGAACAGCTATTTATACAATCAGATAGCAAAAGGCTATTTGATACACTAGACGGATATGAAGGAAGCTGAAACAACTGCTGCAGTGAATCTGCCTTATTGCCAAGTAACACGTTCTGCTGTTCGTGCTAAAGAGAGCGAGAGGTTTGCTTGGGGCTGAGCTCGGTGGGTTGGAGAGGACTGACACTCTCCCTGATGATGCAGAGCAGTTTATTCACAAAGTCACTCTGCTTAGGCCCAATTTCCCATCTACATTCAGATTCCAAAAGCTCAGGTAGCAGAACGTTCTGTGGGATGCAGTGATGCCATCCTGCACCATTCAACCTGCCCCACCGTGCAGAGGCCACCTGCAGCACACTCTTGCTCGGGCACAGGTACAATTGACTCCCAACACGCAAAGGTCAGTATTTCATACCGATGTGAAATCTGTAAGGATCCCACCCTTGCATTTCTGAAGAGCCTGGAACAATAAACAAGTTCCCAGGACAGAAGCTTCTGGATGACTGTTTGAATCGACAAAGGGCGCATTGTTGAGGAGCGCAATCCTTCCATGCCTGGGCTGGAACCCCGCTGCGACTGGCGGCCCAAGCAGGGCCATGGCAAGCGGAGGGCAGGAGGCAGCGTGCCAGCCCGCGGGGCTGTGCCCCGAGCCAGGCTCCAGCACACTGCCTGCAGACGGAGTGACTCGAGATGGCTTACTGCAAGGAAGGGTACAGGAAAAGACTGCTAGCGATGTCGCCAAAACCACAGGGACAAGCCTCTGCTGCTCAGTCTTAATAAATACAAAGGAATATTGTCTTAAACCGATTTTTTAGCTTTTACTCTTGTAGAAGTTTTCTGAGACACTCAAGAATGATTATATATTATAAGCAGAGATTAATACAGCCTGCTTAAATGGGCACAGGATGGCACGGTCCTAGCGACACGGTTTGGATAAAGACTTACTGTCATCTAGACACCAGAAACCTGTTCAACCAGAATGAGCAAGTACAATCGGATACAAATAACTGAAAGGTGAGAAGCTACCATCTGCCCAGCCGAGCATTACCATTTCTCAGGTGAGCTGCAGTAACTGACTAAATGAGAGCTCCTGTATGCACAACACAAACCCAAATACACTAACTTAGGGTACCACTGAAAGTGGCTTTAGGTATGTTCACAAAGGATTAGGGGAGCAGCTCTCATCCGTTCGTACAATTGTGGAGAGCCTGTGGAGGTCCAGCAGAATGAGCAGTGATTTCCAGCATGGTGAGGTTCCAACTTCTTAATCTACCAGGGAGTTTCATATCACTACTCCCAAAGGAAACAGGCACTAGTGGCATCAGCTTAATGGGACAAAAGTTGCTCATCAGTAAAAGGGGAAAAAGTGAGAACTCTAAATGGATTTGCCAAACATAACTGAATTCCGGATTTTGACCATTTCTTCAGACTTCTTTAGAAAACAGCTCCATACCAATTATATTTACACTGAATGCAAAGCCTGTATTCGAGAGCAGAGGATCAGTCTTACTGTCAATATATGCTACAAGCAGGAATCGATAATTCACCTCTTACGTTACTGTACAATGTACTGGGGCCACCAAACTCAATTATGCCATGTTTTGCCAGGCCCACAGTTTAGGATGGGGAAAATGGCCCTGGAAGTACCCTGCAGAGAGCCTTGCTACCTCACTAAAACTCAGAATGAGAACTTGCAGAGGTGATGTCAGAAAGAAAGAAACAAACCCCGGCTGAGCACTTCTTATTACCTTTTTTTTTTTTTTTTTTTTAAGCAGCTTGTTCCAGAATTGAGCCACTTGAATTCTCACGGAACACGCAAGCTTTCTCTTCAACTCCTTAAGTGCAAAGTCCATCGACTGTGGTCAAACTAACTCTCTGGCTGTTTAAACAAAGTTGCTGGACCTTGCACGGAAGCAAATAGAGAGCATTCACCTACTCTCTTCTGTTACCAAAGCGGTAGGGATAGTAATTCCTACATGCTGACCCACCACAAAAATCTGGGGGGGGGTTTTCAGAAACACCAAATCTGCTTTACTTAGAGAACAGATCTAAATCCTTACTCTCCCAGAGCTTTGAATGAGTCACCAATTTGACCTAACCGCACGATAAAACATTGATGCTTCAGCTTTTATTCAATTATCACACCGTTTACCTTCTGTTGCCACAGAAAAATACACAATATGTAGATAATGCACAGACAAATCACACTGGCACCCACCACAGTTAGAAAGGAGAGGATGATACCAAATAACATAATTTTACTTAAAAGGCTTTGCTATCACAAGCCCTGGAAGCCTCAGAGGGCTACAGCATGTACTCCCAATCATACACTTCGACAACACATCAAGTGTTAACACTCAAGTAACACATGTAGAATAAAGACTGACTTAATTTAATCATAATTTAAACCAAAAACACCTATGAAAAGTTAACCACAGCATTTTAAATTGTGGTTTTAAGGCTAAGCATAGTAGCTGGAGTCAAGAGTGGCTGCTACCATCTATAACTTTTATCATACGCCCAGGATCAGAAACACAATTAAAATTATCCCATGTGTGTAAACATCCAGTGTGTCTTGAAGATAAATACTCCAGTTCTGAAGCTCTTACACAAACTATGTGATTAATTGTGAACTCCTCAGCATGTTCGATTGGGACTCAGTTACAGTATTTTAAAGTTAATATATATTAACAGTATACTGAATGGAAATTTTACAGTTTAGCTTACTGCTAGCATCGTTACCCACACATTTTCATATTACTCCTGTTCTCACTAATGCTCACTTACCTCAATGCCCCTCTTCTAATGGGTATTTCAGGAAATGCTTACCATACACACATTCATCTACATCAAGGTAGCAGACCCGAGTGGATTGATTAAAATACTAGCAACTTATTTCCAAATAAATTCCCTTAGCTGTGTCAAAGTCCCAGTTTGAACAGGGCTGTAGCATTTTTTGGTTTTATTTGGAATGATCATCATTCAAACACTTTACACACAGAGAAAAATCCAACCATGCTATGACACAGTCCAAACGGGTTTTTTTTTAACCCTTCACATGGAACATCTGATGAAAGATAAATGCCAAACTTTTGATGATATAGCTGTATTCTTGTCTCAGATGATTGCAATAGAAATACTTCTTAAAAGGGATTTTGCTCTCCTTATTGAAACCTTGACAATACAGGACAAACCTGACTAGGAACCACAGTCCATTAATACACAGTCAGAAACGGATTAGAGTAGGAGGCAATGAAAAACAAGTGCTTCTCCACCCATGCTTTTCAAAATGGAAGAAAATTTTCTTCTAGCAAAACAAAAGGCAGCATTAGGACTAGACTGAATTAATCCTATACAGCCACTGTGTGTGGCCAAATACTAACAGCCCTCTGGTGGGACCCTCTGCTAGGAATGCCCACCTGCCACCAGATCACACTGCTGGCTTGTCATTGCTTTTCAGTCAAGTGTATACGTTGCTGCCTGCCTAATTGAAGCTATTTCCTAACTAGTACTGCTCACGACTTCTACACCCTCTGCTCCTCAACCACCTCCACTCCAAAAGCTCCCCTAGCCTCACCCTTTCCAAATTCTTCTTCCTTTCCGATGTCCTACTACATCTGACCCATGTTTGTTCCCACTTCCCACTCCTTTTCTCCCTCCGATTCCTCCAATATGAACCAACGCATACATATGAGCCTTCCCAACAGATTCTGTTTTCCTAAAGGGAGTGGCCATAACTGCTCCTTCGGTCCTGCTCGTGGGCACTGCTGTTATTGCTACCTCCCTCTGCCCTTTGTACATCAGGTAGCTAAAAAAAAAAAAACCCAAGAAAAAAACAACCAGAACTAAACACACGCACAAAAGAAACAGTACAGTGAAACTTTAAAAGCAGACATCTAAGACATAGCCAGGACAAATAAGATAAACTTTTGTAGGGCTGGGTACTCTTTGTTTGCTGTTTTCCCTGACTCACCTTTTATTTTTCTCCTTTATAAATAGCTTGTTCTCTGTATTTACTACTGTGTTGTTATAGGAGATCAAATTAGAAGAATTTTAAGACAGTTTTCTGTTCTTTAGTTTCTGGAAATGAAACAAAGATTGGTTAGGTTTTCTACAGGATAGACAAATACCTATTACAGAATAAGTTATTCTGAATGCCTAAGATACTTACCAACAAATTGCTGTTCTTTAAAAAGCTGCATATATTCAGCTTTTCCCCCTTTTAAAAAAAAAATAATTAAAAAACTCACTTAATAAATTATAACTTGTATCTGGAATGCAGTATCAAAAGCTTCAGCCTCCACACTGCAATGGGACATTCTCTGTGCCTACCGACTTCCCAGTGGTTTTTTTGGAAAAAAACAATCAACTCCAGGGGCAAGTGTCTCATTTTATACTCATCTTGGTATGGGAAGCAACTCTTACAGACAGAACCATTAAAAAAATATTCCAGCCCTTCAGATTCACCTTTATCTGCAAGTGGTTCAGGGAACGCTCGCTGTGTATCTTATGGCCAATAACCACACCATTGGACTTCAGCCCTCAGAGCATGGGAAAATGCTCATGGGAAAGTATCCAAAGCAATTCATTGTAATTGGAGGGAAAAAAGCAAACCAAAACTAAAACCCTCTACAGCACCATTCTTCCCATAGGTACAGAGATGATATTCTAGTTTAGCAAGAAAAAGAACAAAAGAAAAGAGCACAGCTAAAAACCACCTGAATCACAGCTGTAGTCTCTCTCTTACCCTACTTGTCTGGCTCCTCACTTACCACGGCAGTTTAAGACCTGGCAGACATATCGTGAAAATTAATTTACAGCATTTAGAACCCACAAAAATAAAAAAAAAAATCCCAGATAAAGCAGACACAATTAATCCATGCAGTATCATGAAAAAAACCCACCCAAACCCTACAACTGCATTTCTTCATATTGAGATCAGAAAACGTAGTCAAAACTGCCGATTTTCTTCCAACAATCTAACTTCTCAAGACTTAGTATTTTAATAATAAATGACTAAGCGTTATAAGATTTTTGTTTAAAAAGTGTTTTCACTTTAATGGGTTTAGTTAATAACATCATCAATGGTACAAAACTGTCCTTTTTCACATTTCCATACATTGTTATTACGGACCACCTGAAAATCTGGACTAAGAATGCATAAAGTGTCTCTTAATTAGCCCTAGCTTCATTTTTTGCCATATGTAGAAGAGATATGCAGAAAAAAAAACATGCATTCGTTAACAATGACATGTTAATATT